GGACGAAGCAGATCAATGCGTATCGTTTGCGCGCATGTACCGATGCAAGTCAGGATGGGAATGGTTAGGATATGGATTACACATAAACCGTTTTAAGTGAGTTCATTGATCCATGATTTAATAGGGTCAATCCACCATGAGTCTATTATATTAATAGGTTATTCGTGGATATCCAAATGAATCGGCTACTCTTATTACATGTGTGTAAAACTCGGACCCAAAATTTTTAAACTCACGTTCACACTATAAAAACTTATCAAATTTAGTTCAATTTTGGTGGGATAATTTATTGCACAGAGAAGCAACTTTGTATAAATTTTGAGCCCTTTATACAAGTGGGGCCCACGATGTATTACTAGGACCCAAAAATTCTAGTTATATGTGTGTAAAACTCGGATCCAAAATTTTTAAACTCACGTTCACACTATAAAAACTTATCGAATTTAGTCGAATTTTGGTGGGATAATTTATTGCACAGAGAAGCAACTTTGTGTAAATTTTGAGCCCTTTATACATGTAGGGCCCACGATGTGTTGCTAAGACCCAAAAATTCTAGTTACATGTAAAACTCGGACCCAAAATTTTTAAATTCACGTTCACACTTTGAAAACTTATTAAATTTAGTTAAATTTTGTAGGAATGAATTATTATATAGCGAAGCAACTTTGTACAAATTTTTGAAACATTTATATATGTGAAGTCATTTTAGGTCGAACCCCTTTAACTTAGGTTCTAATGGTTTGATCCGTTTGATCCATTTATATTTTTGGAGCGACCCTATAAATTCGTTACAAATTCGTTAGGATAAATTTACGGATATGTTTAGTGAATAAATGTATCAACCCTAACCATTCCCATCACGAGATGCAAGCAAACCAACCAAGAACACACGTACGTGTGGTAGTACTGTATTCGGAAAGCTCTTTCAGTTCGTTGCCGCCTCACGACGTAGGAGTACCGGAGAACTGCGCATATAGTAAATAGTCAAAACCGAATAAACTGGATAACTAATAATCGGATCATGAAAAACTATATGTAGGCTAATTAATGATTGTGTGCTATTAAATCATTGTTTCAAACATAGTATATATATATAGATGCATTCACTACAAGAAAAATGCTTTGTAGAGACATTTTTCTAGTACTATAGAGACACTTTTCAAATGCCTTTACAATACTATAGAGGCATTTTAAAAAATGTCTAATAAGTGCCTTATGGTGAATTGTCTCTACAAACGAAGAGGCATTTTATAAAATGTCTATAAGGTGGTAGAGGCATTTTCTAGAGACATTAAATTGTACCACAACCATATGAAACCAATGTGAAAATGAGAATAAAATATTTTCTCTTATTTTTGCCAATCCTTGAACTCATGATCTCTTGAACAAATCATTCTTTTCTTCAAGGCACTAACCAACTCAACCCCATGTCATTCATTGTATATGTTTATGCCTTAAGTTACTTATATTTAGCCATTTATTATACTTTTATTGTAAGAAGTGTCTCTTCAGAGTTTAAAGTGTCTCAAGCAAATGACTTTACATGTTAGATACATTTTAAAGTGCCGAAAGAATGTCTCTACAAGATAAAATCTAATAAAATGTGCTGAAAATATTTTTAAAGTGTCTCTAGAGTAAAAATTTTCTAGACAATTTTGAAAGTGCCTCTATAAAGTGTCTCTACGCTATAAAACTCCTGATCTTAGAGGCAATTTGCAAAATGCCTCTACAAAAGTGTCTTTATATAATATTTTTGTTGTAGTGATTGTTTTTCAAATATAGTATATATAGATGCAGGTAACCAGCCCATAAACACATGTGTACTCATCCATATAAATGTTCACATGTATACCCTTATAAGCACATCTGAAAGACTAGAGAATATGACATATATTAAGATTCACATGTCTCGGCTTTCCTTGTCAAAAGTAAATATGTAACTAGAATATGAAAACATGTATTTTTTGGAATATGTGATAATGGAATGGGCAAACGATGGGTATTGAACCTGTGCATGTGAATTCACAATCCACTACCCCTATGAACATCTCCAAAGGTTAAGCCGATTCTACCACCAGGAACCTGATCAATTTTTTTTTAAAAAAACTAGGATAGACAGCCTCCCACAATTTCGATCAATACAAATGAGAAGCTACCTGTAACCTATGTTCACAAACTCACCAACTTTACCATTCCCCTTTTCTAGGTGCCATCCTACCATGGTTAGGGGAGGTGACTAGCAGTTAAGTCTTTTTTTTTTCTAGACTACTACCATTACAAACACAACCTACCAAAAAGATTGTTCTCAACAGCTACTTGGCAAAAACACCCATGTTACATTCAGCAGGAAATCATAATAGTAATAGCAAACCATCAGAAGATATCAACCTCTTTGTTCTTCGAAACATTTAACTATTTGCCACTTTTAAGATGTAGTGCTACCAAAAGTCTATGACATGTGAGCCTTGATGTATCTTTGACATGCGGCGGTCCAATGGCAAATAGTTAATATCTCCTATTCTTTTGTGTTCTAAGCATTAATTGCAGTCTCCTTGATCTGAAGTTCTATCCATGTTGAGCACCATATATCTCATTTCCCACCCATCTTAGAAGCTTGGCATCCTCTTGAAGGTTTTTTTGCCTTTGCCTCCTTGCTCTGCAACATGGCTCAACTGCAGATGTGGTAAGTAATTTGGAAAGTAATTTCAATTCGATCACTAGGAAGAATATTTTAGAAACAAGCCCTCTATTCCGCAATTTTCAGATCGCCATAGTATTGTAGCAATCCCTACAACAATGAGCTTATGAGAAAGTACCTCAATAACTCAAGGAGTGAAAAAACCAGCTGACTCACATTTCTGGGTGGGTCATATGAAAGTTAAAGACAAATTCTTAGGGTTGGAATCTTTTATGATCAATGATGGTAAGCAAGTTACATTCTGGAAAGGTAAATGGGTTCAAAATTCTTCTTTTAAAGAGCAGTATCTATCTTTGTGTAATATTAATCGTCAGATAAGTGCACCAATTTCAACTGTGATGGGTTATGTTCCTTTGAATATGTTTTATTTTGTAGAACATTGGTGGATCAGAATCTTATTGACTAGAATAATTTAGTTGCTAGAATAGTACATATCCACCTTAATGATGATAATGACATATTTAGGTGGAGCCTTCATTAGAATGGTGCATTTTTTCGATCAATGTACTCGGTGTTAATTTTTAATGTGCATATGGAGAGAAAAAAATTACTGTGGAAATAAAAAAATGTCTATCAAAATAAAGATTTTTATATGGTATTTGCTTAAAGTAGTGTTAACCAAAGATAATTTAGCAAAAAGGAATTGGAATGGTAGTAGTTGCTTTTGTTTGCATGAAGAGAATATCCATCATCTATTCTTTGAATGCCATGTTGCTAAATTTCTTTGGAGAATCGTCTTTATTTCCATTGGGTTGCAAATACCACATAATTTTCCTGAAATGTTTGGGGATTGGCTGGTAGCCATGAATTCTAAAGCTAAGAAATATATTTCTGATAGAAGCATTTGATTTATGTTGGGTTCTATGGCTTAGTAGGACTAATATGGCTTTTCACAAGACTCTAACTAAATCTTATATGAAGGAATTATTCAAAGTAACTTATTGGCTTTGGTTCTGTGGCTAGCCTCAAAGGAGTGAAGAGGAAATGGAAGTCATATATGTGTTGCATGCTATAATTTAGAGTTAATATTCATGCATGTTTTCGTCTATTTTGGATGGAGATTTATCAATAGACTTGAACTTTGAATAAGTTGCTATTTTCCATTGGTTAGTGTTGTTGAGTCGGCTTTTTATCTACCTTTGTTTATTTCCAGCGTGTTTAGTCTTCGTGCCAATAACTTTGTAATAAGTGCTTGTAGCTCCAATTGAAGCAAATTCTAGGTTTAATATCCATTATCTAAAAAATGAACCTACTTGCCCTCTTACTGAATTTGTTTACCGTATCTCATTTGCTACACCATAGGCAAAGACACAATTCTAACTATTCCACACAAACCTGGCTAAATGGCAATGGGAAAACAGATGATTAATTGTTTCTTTCTCATTACAAAAATGACATTTACTGTTATTTTTTTCCATCCCCTTTTAATGAGGATATCTTTAGTCAGAATACTGTTTCTAAGAGCTAACCAAGTGAACACTTTAAGTTTTACTGGAATATTAAATTTCCACATCTTTTAGAAGGGATATCCACTTTCCTATGTTTGATAAAAAAATTTGGCACTAGGACAAATTCATAGAAAGTTTGGGCCAAATTTGGAATAAACCAGAGCTTTCCCGTGGAAGCCGGTTAGGCCGCCATTGTGAGGTTGGTCGGACCTGAGGATTGGATAAAAAAACGTTCTGAATAATATATTCAAAGGTTAAACTCTTGGTTTTATTGTTGAATTTTATATATTGTCACGTCCCCTTTTTCGTGTCTTCTATTTTGCTCAATTTTGAAAATTAACGTTCATGTTTATTCGTCTAAAATAGGTTAATGAAAATTTCATAAATGAAAAAGGGTTTAATTTGACTAAATAATTTAATTACGCTGCCCTTTTATTTTATCGTTTGTTAATTGGAGTTATTTAATTTTTATTTGAGTTTTGGAAGTGGAGCTCAATTTGATGAATTCTCCCAAATTCTTAAAAAAAATCCAAAGTCCAAGAAAAACATTTTCCTTTTCCTTTTCCTTCCTTTTCTTTTCCTTTTTCTTTTTCCTCCCTAATCTAGGCAGATGCCTCTTCTCTTTTTTTCTTTGTAACGATCTCCATCTCTCTATCTCCCTCTGATGTTCTGTCTCTCTCTCTCTCCCATTAATTTCACCTTTTTCAATCCCCAATCAATATCCTCCACTAATATTAAAAAAAATGAATCAAACATGATGAGACATTCATTTTCTTTAACTCTTGGTTCTGTATATATCTCTTTCCCTATCCCTCCGTATTAATCTCTCTCTCTCTCTCACTTTCTGTCTCTTTCTGTCTATCTCCCTCCCTGTCATTCTATCTCTGCCATCTCTTCCCATCCCTCTTCCACTAATCAATCTCTTCCCCTTCCTAATTAATTTCTCCACTTGAATGACAAAAATTGAATCAACCTATTGAGCTTGATCTGTTTTTTCCAATTCCCCAGCCACCTCTCCATCTTCTGTCCGTTCACCTCTCCGTAACCGTGCTCCAGCCGCTTCTTCCACTTCTCGCCATGAAAACAGCGCCACAATTTCCAATTCCCTGCAGATCCCTTCATCTCCTCCTTCAGTTTCTCATCTTCAAGGCCAAACGTTGAATCCTCCTCAATTGCTAGACTATTTCTCTAATAGCTGCAGCACCCCTCTTCCTTTCCTCTTTGTTTAACCACCACACCACTGCCCCAGCCATGCCGTGCTGCTGTTGCTGCTGCTGCTGCTTCCGCAACACCGTGCTGCAGCATTGAAGCTCTCCCACTTCGCTTGTACGCCATTGTCCTGCTGCTCGGTACCTCGAGCCGGTGCCATCGTCGCAGCCCGAGGGAGGACGGCTGCCATCACGCCTGCAAGCCGCCTCTCTGCTGGCTGCCGGGAGGTCAAGCCGTTGCCATCGTCTTCTTGTTTCAAACACTGCTACATCATCGAGAGGTCCCTCAATTGCCGGGGATTGGTGCAACGTTGTTTTGCCCATCCACCGCCTCCTGTGCTATCTTTTATCAAGCTGTCCACCAGCGCCGACGATTCTCTGTCAACCACCCGCTGCTGCTGCAACTTCTCCTTTGCGGTAAACACCTGCCCTACATCCACCTCCTTCATCATTTTTTTTCTTCCCAATTTATCGTCCTGTGCGTGCACGTGATCGTGATTCCATTTGCATATCACAAAGCACGTCATCGTTGTCCTGTTTCCAAACAGCCACCAACTAAATGCCATCATCGGTGGTGAACCACGTTGCTCCTTCATGTTCGGTCGCCGTCGCCTGCACGCAGAGGCGCTGCTGCCGTCGTGGAACCAGAGCCGCCCTCTCGCCATCCACTTCGGAAGCCCAAGCCACTGATGCCATCTTCTCCTTTGCTGGAGCTTTGTTGCTTCATCTTCTCTGCCATGGCTGGTAATCCCCTGCACTCCATCCATGTACTGTTTTGTTTCCTCCATTCAAGATCAAAATTTAAATCACTAATCATCAGTTAGCCCCGTTTTCACTGTCCCTCCAATTCTCGGTTGGTTGTTCATCTCCTTTGCATATACCAACGTGAATTTTTTTGAGAATTAATATTATTTTTATGGAAAATCGCAAAAGTAGTGGTCAACCGGAGAAAATCGCGAAAGTAGGTCCCTGTCGAACGGGTGCAGTTCGATAGGGCGCCTATCGAACGGCCAGAGCGCGACTGGCGAGGAGATCGGAAGGCTACCGTTCGACAGGACCTGTCGAACAGCCCCCGTTCGACAGGCAGGGCTGTCGAACTGCCCCTGTTCGACAGGAGGGCTGTCAAACTGCCCCTGTTCGACAGGATATCCGTCGAACTGGCGTAGTTCGACAGGGTCGCGTTCTCCATTTATTTGTAATAAGTTATTTTTTTAATAATATGTAATTTATTTTAGTGTGTAAGAAAGGAAAATATTTTTGTAATGTTATATGTATATGATTTAGGGTTTTGATAATGTTTGGTAAGAAATTGTAGTATTTTTTTGTTGGTTAAAATATTTGAATTATTTAGTTTCATTATTTTTTGTATATTTGAATGATAATTTGTCATGATTCATTTGAAGGATATGCTACTAAGTAATTATCCGAAGAAGTTTATGAAATAGTACTGATAGTACTAAGTTAATCGTAAAATGTTTCTCAAATAGTACGGATAGAACATAAATGACTAAAAGTTTAATACAAATAGATAAGTCAAGGACGATCAGTGCCCTTCGCACGCTTGCTAGGTCCTCCCTTCTTCCTACGCCTAATCTGCTCAGTGGGATATGTCAAATTATCAGGGGGGTGCCTATCTCTAGCTGCCTGCTATGGTGTCATGTCTGGCCCCTGACCGGCCTTCGTCTCCTGCGTCGGCTGTGTGACCTGAGGTGCTGCGTGCCAGTAATCCATCCCTACTTCCCCCTGGGGAGGATCAGTGGAAAAGAAGTCCTCAATGAATGCTGTGCGAGGGGAGTAAGCAGGCATTCCGTGATGCGTCGACGCCGAACCGTACTCATCGTCTGTTTGCACAAGAGGGAGAAACCAAAAAATATGGCGTAGTTAGTAATGATACATATAATTAGAAACTAAAGCGTGTTATTGTTTAAAATGACTTACATGTGTGCTGTGTGTGGCCTTGCTCTGGCGCACGCGGAGTGATATGAAGTCCCCATGCTTGTGTGTTCAACACGTTGTCCCCCGTTGGCATGTAAGGGAAGTGTGCCGACCCAGATGCTCCCTGCGAGAGGTGAACATAAGGCGGAGTTTGGAATACCTGCGGACGTGGTGGTGCCGTGCTCGACGTGGGTACCCCTGATCCGGCTGACCCCCTGGTGTACTCCGGTGCTGGGGTGTGCTGAAAGGAAGGACGACCGTGAGATGTGTGGGCCGCTTCGTACCCGCGACGTGAAGAGGATGGACCACTCCGATCCACGCTGGAACGTCGGGGTAGTGGTGGTGATGGCCGTCGGCCCGATGTCTGCACCACATCTGCCGCGCTCCGACAGGAGACACGACGTAGTAGTGCGGCAGCACGTGCACGGAAGTTGCGAAGGATGCTCGCCACGTCGTCAGGCCTGACGACTGGAGGTCTCGCCTCTAGTCTTTGCAGCAGGGTGTCGGACTCCACGTGAACGTGCTCAACAAATTCCGCCTGTTCCATAAATAATCAAGGCAATTAAAATTATTTAACCAGTTGCACATTTATTGAGAGTATTTAACAAGATGCACATTTGTTAGAAATAATGAACCAGTTGCACATCATTTATAAATACTGAACTAGTTCCACATTTATGTAAGAAAAGGAACTAGTTGAACCAATTGCACATTTATTAGACATACTGAACTACTTGCTAACTTTTTAAAAATATTGAACTAGTTGCTCAAATTCCACAAATAAACACGTACCATTGAGTTGTAAGCTGATCTAGGCTGAGGGGCAAACGTGTCAGTAATCGCTGCCTGGTGGGGGATGGTGCTATCTCCTTGTGGAGGAAAACACCTCCATTGTGTAACACTGCGGTACCAACGAAGGTAAGCTCCATAATAACTCCCATCGTCTGGAGGTGTCTGAAGTGCCAAGTTATTAGCTGCGTGCTCCCACTCTTGTACCGTCGGCTGAACCGTGGTCACAATAACTAGCTCGTAGGAAAGCCCGAGCCCCTTTCTGGAGTACCTGCACAACAACAAATTCACACATCAGAAAAAATGTTGTGCAGTGATTTATTTTAAAAAATGTAGGATTAAACAACTGTGATGTGAACTAACCTATGAAGACTATCAGCCAAAGGACGACCATCTCTCGGAGGGAAGTCCTGATACATGCCCAACTGTTTGAGAACCCTGTGGACATTGTGTGGCTCGACGTGCACGTCCACCACGAGGTGACAAGTCGTCATCCAGAGTTGCATATCTCGCGTGCAAAGATCCGCGAGACCGTGCGGTGCACGATCATTGACATCGTGCTGAGTGTAGGGAGTCCACCGAACACGGTCAGGCGTAAGCTGATCAAAGTCAGCTACAAACTGAGTGTAGACACGACGTGTCGTCCCGCTAACCCACTGCGGCTGTAACAAGTAGTAGTTTTCATTAGTCATATAAGGAAAGTTTGTGAACTAGTATTCATAATGATAACATAAACGAATTTAACAAAAAATACCTCACGGTGTGTCCACAAGGATCCCATAGTGGGACGATCGTCGATGTCATCAACACCAGACCTGTACATCTCTTGCAAACCGTAGTTTGCGTACGAGTCAAGCTGAGGCCTCCCAATGTCAAAGCGCTCGTGCGCCCACAACATAAGTAGCAATGGGCATCCAGGGAGTGAACTTTGCTTGCTGTTCCTCACGCAAGCATCACACAGTCCGGCATATGTCGCCGCAAGTACCGCCGACCCCCAACTGTACTGTGGAATCTCCGCGATAGGTAACTCTGCAATCTGCTCCGCAAAGTGGATGAAGTGCTTGTCCACGGAGTCAGCGTGAGTTCCCGTGAACATCACCCATCCAAACAACCACAACAGGTAAGCGACTAAGTGCCGCTGCACGATCCACTCCTCCTGGTCATCAGGGAAGACATCCTATCGAAACTGATTCAACCAACTTTTCGTAGGCCCGTGCCCATCTGTGAGATCCTCCAGTGCAACAGGTAGCACACCACCAAAACTGGCCAGAAGGTCATCCGCCCATCCAGCATTCACCATTGTTGGGCCAACTGCTGGCCCAGCTATCGGCAGCCCCAACAAATAAGACACATCCTGCAGAGTGGGCACCATCTCTCCAACTGTGAGGTGGAAAGTGTGGGTCTCAGGCCTCCATCTATCCACAAGAGCACTCAGAAGCGCCGCGTCAATGTGGATTCGTTCGGACCTTGCACGTGAAGGCTCGACCAACCGTGCAAACGTCAACAACCCAGCTGCTCTCAGCCTACAACATGACAGAGCGCAAGTTATTAATACATGAAAATATAAACACCTTGTATTAGTAAAAACAATATATTTTCACACACCTTGGAACCCAACGAGGAGGATCAATACGCCAATATTGATCCGGTCCTCGCATCTTTAGCACATTGCAGAAAGTTCCTGTACTAAGACGTCGCGATCGATGGTTCCTATCGATCTCCTTGTCTATCAGCTGCCCATCATATTGATCAGCCATACCTGCAGATCGAAAACTACATTAGTAAATGCACGTGTGGTAACAGTACAGTAAATGTATGCAACATAATTCAAGTAACAAATTTGCATGCCATTTCAATTTAAAATTACAGTACCAGCACACATAGATACAGATAAGAATAGTTCAGTACATTTCAATTTAAAATTACAAGCCCACGACACATATATTATGATATTACAAGTGCAGTGCAGTTCGAAATTTAAATTACAATTCCAATACAAATACATGACGATATTAAAAGTGCAGTGCAGTTCAAAATGAAAATTACAAGGCCATTACAAATAGATTCGGGTAATAAAAGTGCAAGAAAGTTCAAATTAAAATTACAGACGCACTAAACATAAATTGAACGATAACGATCTTCAAAGTAGGGAGTCCACCAAGGATAATAGCGAACTAAGGATTATTTTTCTTCTTCGACTTCCCCTTTGGAACGCGACGAACATCAGCGCCTGTGGCATCTTGCCCTACATTGTACATGCTGCAATCTTTACGGGAATGGTTCTCCCCGCAAAGAATACAAGCTTTCTTACGACGAGAACGATCTTTCACTTCAGCTTCATCCATAAGGTTCTTGATCCTGCGCGACTGGCGACGACCCTTAGTATCAACTAATAAATTTGAGTCAGGAACCCAATTGGCTTGCCCTGGAGGAGGACGAGTGAAATCGCACATGGCACGCCAACCACGCAATTCACCACGCTAAGTTGCCTCCCATGATTCCTTTCTAAAGTAGGGAGAAACAAAAATGTTTCCATCAACACCCCCTTTTGCGGAAACAGCAAGAACATGGGAACATGGCCGATGTAACAGGTAAGGCTTGTTGCAATTGCATTTGCAAGCGTGATACTCTGGCCACAACATGCATTCCAATGTGATGTCAGTAGTCCCAATGCCGACACCACTCTTGTCACGAAGTCGTATCTCAAATAACAACTCTCTATTCCCAGCAGGCCACACTCTGTGGATTCCTCCCTTCTTACTTTTCTCATCCATGTACTGTGTAATAGCGGGGCTATACTTAACACTGGGTTTGCTAAGGTTCAGACTAGCCATGGAATACCTTTTACAGAGATACTTCTGTGTACCCCTCGTGATGCCCTCCAGGATAGCAACAAGTGGTAGAGGTCGTGTATTCTTCATAACCCAGTTATACACTTCAGCAAGATTTGTTGTCATCACACCATACCTCGATCCATCTGTATCGTACAACAATGACCATTTCTCCCTTGGCTCAAATTCTACCCACTCCGTGAAGCACTTCGTGGCCCTTCCACGCTTCCTGCGCCGAGTAATACTTGGTGCTTCATTAGGAATGGGTTCAAGTCCCTCCGGCTCCTCCTGTCTGGCAACTATAGGTTTTTTCCTAACCACTTCCATGTGTGTAGTGGTCAAACGATCCAGTTGATCCCATATGGCATCAAACTTTCTTTGTTGATTCTGCTTGCATAACTTCTTGAATAGGTCCATCAATCTCTTACTCCTGAATTGTCTATAAAAATTAGCCCCAAAATGTCGCATGCACCATCTGCTATGTAAATCTGGCCATGGCACGGACTGTGTGACATCTTCTTGAAGCTTCTGTATCGCTGATAGCAAACCGGCGTGTTGGTCATGTAGAACACACACATTTCGTCTATTTTCAACAACACACATTTTAATGTGCCGCAAAAACCATAGCCAGCTTGATGTGTTCTCGCTTTCAACAAATGCAAAAGCAACAGGAACGACATGGCTATCCGCGTCGACTCCGATCGCGGTTAGAATTGTTCCTCTGTACTTGCCTGTCATGAAAGTGCCATCAACACAGAGCAAAGGAATGCAATTTCTAAAGGCCTCTATCATGCATCCAAATGACCAGAAAGCCCGACGAAGAACATTCTCCCCATATTCATTCACCTCATCGAGAATAGCCATGTGTGTGCCCGGATTTCTTGCCTGCATCACCTCCAATAGTGGGGGAAGATTGTGATAAGAATCCTCATAAGTTCCAAACCTCATCTCCAATGCTTTCTGTTTTGCCCTCCAAGCCTTGTCGTACGATATCTCATATCCGTACTCTTTCTCAACGTCATGCATTATGGTGAAAGGGGACAAAGATGTTTTTCTAACCACCTTTGAATATACCATTTGTGCCACAAATGCCGCTGTCAGGTTTCTGTGCACCAGACGGGTATTCTCCAACAAACACGTATGTTGCTCAACCCTCAAAGCTACCCATAAAGTATCATGTTGTGGCTTGTAACCATGCACTCTCCAAGGACATCCACCCTGTATGCACTTCACGTCATACGTCGTCCTATTTGAAACCTTCACCCTGAACTCACGCTTCTGGACAAATGCCCACCTCTTCACCGCATCTTGTAAGTGACCTTTGTCATGAAACATCTGTCCAACTTTCACCTGCTTACTATCATAACACCAGTGGGCATCTAAACCATCGTTTACCTTCATACGACTCATTGATATGGTCGTCCAATCATCGGGTATGTTAGTTTCGTTGTCCCACAGTGTTGTATCTTCTCCTTCCACTACAAGCGCAAGGTATTCCTCGTTTTCCACTTCCATCTGATCCACTACCGCCTCATTCTCCTCCGCTGCATCAACACGCATAGGCGAATCCGGTTCTTCATCGTCCGAGTCGTTGGCCTCACAATTAGTACCACGAACAATGACCTCTCCTTGTGTATTACCCTCTACTACTTCTTCCCCTCGATCTTGCTCAGTCCGCCAAACATTTTCAGCTTGTCCACCTTCCAACGGAGTTTCTTCCACCACGGCATGACTTGACTCCCCCGATCGATCAACACATGTTGTCTTCTGCACCACTATTGCCAGGCTATAGCCTTTCTCCCTTATTTTACTAACAAACTTCCTCCAACTCCCAGTTGACGCAACCTCCACTACTCTCCACTGCCATCCATGTTGACCCCTCACTGGCCACACGGCATTTATGACAAATTTATCGTGCACTGGATCTACCCCAAACATATTATACAACCACCCTAACACGTCGTTCAAACCCATATGCTCCGGTGCATTCAGACTAGTATCATGGAAGACATATACAGTCAAATCCACCCCACTATCACATATTTGTATAGGAGCATCGCCATAATACAGACGAATGGGCATATCACCTGACATCCTGATAAAACATGACAAATAGTCTCACGTTTAATCATTTAATCATTCGATAATTACCCTATTACAACTTATACTATATTGCCGTGTACTAATTTACAACTATTAGTAACAAACAACTAGTTTAATAATCCAAATAAAATATAACACCTTTGTACCTATTTTAACACACAACATATCAATAATATGTACTAACTAAGAACTAATTTAACCGTACAATTACTTAAATACCTCTACCAACATTTAGCAATAACAAATATGTGCTAACCATACATACTAACATCGAACAATGCGAAACAATCAACAACTCTTAAACCAATTTTTTATTAAACTTTCATATGCATTGTACTTAGGGATTACTAATGTATACCTTAACTTCACTGCTGGAGGGTGTCGCCAACCCTTTCCTCCCGGCCGGCGCCTCCTCGGCCTCCTCTCTGGCCTGCTATCCCCTCCCCTCGCTCCCTCCGGCGCTCACGACGACGAAGTGGCGACTCTCGGCGGCGGCTGGCGATGTGGTCCTCAAAACAAATCGAACTCGCGGCCTGGGTGGATGGGGCTTTAAACCGGCCTGTCAAACGCCCATTGTTCGACAGGGTCGGTGGAGGGCCCTGTCGAACGCCCCCGGTTCGACAGGCCTCGCGGCGCCGGGTGGTGGGCCCTGTCGAACTCCCTCCGTTCGACAGGTGAGCGTGTCGAACGCCAGCCATTCGACAGGGCTTTGTCGACTGCCCGTCGTTCGATAGGTGCCCTATCGAATTGCACCCGTTCGACAGGGACCTACTTTCGCGATTTTTCCCGGTTGGCCACTACTTTTGCGATTTTCCATAAAAATAATATTAATTCTCAAAAAAATTCTACCAAGGTCACTGCCATATTTTTCTGTTGCTCATGCACGCTGGGATCATCGCCTCTCTGCTCCACACTGCTGCGCCCAAGAAACCTGACCAACCAGCAAATCAAAGCTATCATCGCCGGGATGTCGAGCTTTACATCATCATGCTCACTCTTCTTCCATAACCTCTATCACCGTCCTGTTTTTAGCGCTGCCATAATACTTGGGAGGTCGAGCAATGCAGTGGATCAGATCAGCTGCTGCAACGACGTCTCGTGAGTTTCTGCCATTATTGTCGCACGAGCATCTTGCTGCCACAACTCTGACATGGTTGGTAAGCACTTTCACCTCAACCACATTCTGCTTCATTGAATATCAAAAACTAAATCACCATCACCATTCATCGGTTAGCTCTGTTTTCACCATCTCTCCATCTCCCGACTGGCTGTTCATCTCCCATTTCCTCCTCTTTATATATACCAGCGCCACTGTCATCCTTTTCTTTTGTTTGTGCATGCTGAGATGCTCTCTACTCTGACTTCCTTGACCAGCAGCACTGCCCCTCTTCTTTCTTTTTTTTTATTCGTGCACGCCCAGACACCTCGTCTTGCTGCCGTGATGCTACACCGTCGTCTACATCACCACTGTCTCGGGTGAACGAACACCAGCACTGCTGCTGTTTTATTTGCTGCCACTGAACCTGAGACTTCGAGTCGTTGTTGCTGTCTTCTCCTCCCTAGTCATTGCTGGAGCATAGTGTTGTCATGGTCTCCATCGCCATCACGTTCCTATGAATGCCACTGCGGTTGGTAAGCTTCAAGGCTCTAGCAGCACCACTGCTCTTATCCTCCTCTTCCATTGTCTTCCCTGCCTCCAGCACGGTCTCTTGTCAAGTTGCTATTGTCTGCCGGTGAAACCACCTCACCGTTAACGATCCGCCGTTCCTACCACTTGTCTGCTGTGGTCATCACGGTTCCATTCCTAAATCACTGCACCGACATCCCTGTTTTCTACACTGGAGTAGTCCATGCCATGTGGCTGCCACTACTCGTCTTTCCCCTACTACTCCATGTCTCCCTGCCACCAAGAGGTCGAGCTCCACCATGCCATCGCCTTGCCGCTGCGCTTCAACTCCATAGCCTTCACCACCGCTGCTGCTATCTTTCATGAACCCGACGTCGTCTTCTAGCCTGCTGTGCTTTTGATTCACCCTACTTCAATCCGGTGCTTCATTGTTGTCACGTTCATGAGATCCATTTTGTGTGGCACCACGTCACATGCGTCTTGGTCAGGCTAGCATCCTAAAACCCAAAACCAATCAAGTCATCTATCTCAACAAATAGATCTCAGCCATCCACGTAATTGGTCCACAACTCTCCTCCTTGTAACCAATTAACCGTAGGTCATCCTACCGGCAAGTGGACCATGCCCGCCAGTCCGTCAAATATAATCCTTTAGGTTCAGAAATTCCAGAGAATATTTTCTAAATATTTCTCTTTCTTTATTCATGGTTTTCCAATAATTCAATCTTCCGGAGGTCACATCTCTTTCATCCAAACTCCGATTCGGCCCATTCTTTTTCCTAAATTCTTCTAAAATTGAGCTCTACCTCCTGATTTAATTGGTTATTTCATTTGTTGTTATTTTGCTGCCTTTTCTTTTTGTTTATTTGTTTTCTCCTTTTTGCGATCGTGTAGACGTTGTTGCTGAGGAGGTTGCTGTTGCAGGTGAAGGTTCAGTCTGAAGATCCTGAAGATCCCGTGGGTAAAAGCAAGTGTACCCTTGAACATGTTGATCCCAACTTTAAAAATTATCTTGTTTTAAATTATATGCATTGTTTTGTTTTACAAATTATTGTGTGGGTAGTTATAACCTACTTGTTAATTATTCCATGCCTTGAATTATTGTTGATTATCCTTGATTATTTGTCACCTAGACTGTATGAGAGTCAAACATGGGGTATTGGCTCAGGGTAGTAGATTTGCTTAGCCCTGCTCACACTTTTACAAGGCAAAATATAATATTGACTAATGATCTACTTATCACTGTTTTTTTATATAAACTGTGTGGTTGTGTGCTATCTTCTTGGTGGCATGTGTTGCACCGTGTAGTAATGATCTGGTGGAAAATGTTTTAGACCAGGGCGATGGTGGATCTGTGTGAACCTAGGAGGTAAGCCATCTGTATGCGTGCTTACTGTTGACCTATGTGGTCGATTGAGCTATGTGCTCCATTTTTGCTGTGTGCTTGAGGTCCTTAGTTTAGGCAAGTCGCCCTGGTCAGATAAGGACTTCACTTCGTGCGCCATTGATCTGAGTCTTACCGTGCAACCACATGTCCTCATGGGAAGGACCTAGCTTAGTACACTACTTAGCTTTGGCACCGACGGCCCAGGTGGCTAGATGATAGGTTTTTGGATTGTACATGGGACCTTTCACCTGTGTGGTGATGGGAGGACCGCCCATGGGGAAGCCGGTGTTAGGGTGAGGTAGAGGAAACGCTTTGTTACTCTTTGGTGTTTAGCGGCACCGAACTGTATCTCGTGGGTAAAGTTGTACAACCTCTGCAGAGTGTTAATCTATTCGAATAGCCGCGTCCTCGGTTATGGACATGCTCGGTGATTTCACATGAGGGGTAGATTTGTGAAAGTTTTACTTTTGGGAAAGAGCTGTGTGCAGGATAAATTAATGAATATAGCTGTGTGGTCCTGTGTGGACGCAATATCCTTTTTGGGTTGGTTGGTTGGTTAAAAATACCGTGATTGCAAATGTTGTTTAAATTAAATTTGTATCCATTTATTGTATTTAAGTTCTCAAATGCCTTTATGCAAATGAACCCTAACCTTCCTTTGAAGCCATGTATCATATATTGCATATTCCCGTACACTTGGGAGTACTTTATGTACTTACCCTTGTTGTCTCACAAAATTTCAGAGAAGGTCAGTTGTTTCCAGAAGTTCTGTTGCTGAGGATGTCGAATAGGTTGCGTGCCACAGTCGATTGTCTCATTGGTGCCTCTCGATTCTTTTTCCGCTGCTTATCTTTGTTTGGCCCTGTGTGGAAAGAAATTGTAAAATCTGGTCATAAGACCAATGTAAAATTTATATTTGTTTCCTATTTATTAACATAATTGTGATGTGGTTGTTGTTGGTATTTCTTAATGACATTACTAGAAATATAATTCCCAGCAATGGCACAGAAATACTTCTGGTATATTATGGTTACAGAGTTCATCCGCAAGCGCACGGATATACCATTGTAGCATTTCACCCGAGAGTATTTCAAGGATATCGTATTTATTTTATCCCGTGGGAAGATCATGTAGAGAGAACTTAACTAATAATTTATATATTACTTGTGATAATCATATTCTAAGAAGGGGTTAAGATAATCCATGGGCAGAGTGACACACAAGCATTTCTACTCATCCTCATAATAAATAATCTAAGCTAGGTGGAAAGAAAAGAGAAAGGCAATCTATTCCTATACTTCTAATATACATAGTATACATACATTCTAGTCAACTGATATACTAGCTAATACCCTCCATCCGATGCCCTCCTGGTACTTCGAGAAGCCACCCCTGATTATCGAGTTCCTTACGACAGCCCGTCATGACCATCCAACCGGGGCTAAATACGGAGGAGTACCCTCCCTAGGAAATTAACTTAGGATTATATATAGGCGCGGAGAAATACCTGTACTGGGCTGTCACCATCAGCGGCCCACCTCTCATCCACAATATATAACCCCAAATAATGCTATTCTGTAATCTAGACACCACGTCTAAACTACCAGATACTACTCCAATATCATCGTCATGACATAGAGTAATTGGATAAGCAAACACTATACCCGCACCAAAGCATCTCCTAGATAAGCTAGCAGTATATTCAGTACAACATGAACATAATGTAAAGTAGGTACTCATATAGTCGGAAAGTATTTCAATACCAGAAATGTATTTAGAAGAGTATTCTAATAAAAGTACAAAGCTTACAAAAGAGGAAAGGAAAGCTACTAGAGCCATACCCGAACTCTTCCGAAGGCTTCCGGACTCCTGATTCCTATTCTAATTCTATTCCACCAGCTAGATACTACTAAACTAAACTTGAGAGGAATGAGAGAGCTCTTGCTTTAGGTGTGTGTTGAGCTCCTTATATAGAGGTAGGTATGACGGTTGTGGAAGGGGAATTGTCTGAAGTACCCTCCAACCATCATTGGGGTGCAATCTTGGATGTCCATGTCAAACCCTGGCCTCAACGGTGGAGATGGTGGTTCGGCCAAACCCCCTGGTTCGACCGAACCATGGGCTGGCCCAAACCAGCCCATCTTCGGCAGGCGACTTCCTCTATTGCTCCACTCCGCAGACTTGTGAATTTTGGCCCAATTCATCGTGTCAATTCTTAGTTCTTGGCCCATTCATACTTAAGTTTGATTCTCGACATCGTCCGATTGATTTATCATTTGTGTTGATGTCGATTATCCTCGACTTTATTGTCATTCTCTGCAAAAGATTAGTAGACCTAATACTAGTGGAATATTATTATTCTAACAAACATATGCAATGCAAGCATCACTAGTTCTCCTCTATTTTGGTCATATTGACGGTTGAAAGTGATCGATAACGACTGTCAACAAAACCCCCCAAGCTTGAACCTTTGCTCGTCCCGAGTGAAGGACGAAAGGAAACTAAGACTTGGTTGTTGATCAGGAGTTGCTACTATGCTGCATATCTCAAAGATACAGGTGCAAGGTATATGTACTCTCTCTCAAATTAAATAATTTTTGGCACGGTGGCTTACCCTTACCCCGATTCCCACGAGACACTGCTTCTACTTGCCTTGGGCGGTTGAAAGACAGAACAGCAATTAGAGCACCAATTCACCCAATGTTTATTCAACTCTTATTCCGGAAGTTTTCAAATGATTTTAGAAAAGAAAACCAAGTTCCTCCATTGATTCACTCAGTCTCTCTAAGTGTATCATTTTGAATTCCTCACTAAATGTTGCCTTGATGATTCCTACTCTAAAGTTTATATGTGGAGCTTGGTAGGGATCAAGCATGGCATACTTGCATTCACATTTGTCACTAAGTTAAAATCTTAGACTAAAGCAGATAACTAAACATACTCAAGAATCAAGATCGTGCATAATGTGTGTGTGGTATAAGGTGGAAAATGGTGTATGAAGAAAATGAAGAAAATGCTTCTCCTTTGTGCTTACTTTCTTCTCCCCAAAATCCTTCTTTTATTGATTAGGAGAGGGCATGATTACATTTTTTTTCTTTTCAATCATGCTTATGCTTGATGGAGCATAACTTTTTTTTCATAACCATGCCTTTCCCTCCTCTTTTTTTTTCTTTTTTTTCAAAAGGATTTTTTCTTTTTAGGAGAAGAAAGCACATGAAAGCATGGAGAACTTATTTCGGTGGAAATATGGATATGGAATGGAATATTGCTTAGCTCCTAGTGTAGGAGTTTTAGCATGTGCATATATGTGGGTGTATGATCTTGATCACAGAGCATGAGAAGTATCTACACAAGTCACAAGAGTTTGACAAAGTTCAATGGAATAGCAAGTGACCAAAATGTATATGGTGTAATCATGATAGCACATTCTTGGCTCTGGTAGGAATTTATATCAAATGAGGAACTTTCAATTTTTTTTCATTTTGAAAAAAAAAACATCCGGAATTCAAGCCAAACTAGTATCAAGGTCATAGCTACTCATATTTACTATCTCATATCTCGCAACAACCTAGACTGAGATTAGCAAGTGCAGCCCATTTACCTCAGGTTTCCGGATAATTATTGGCTACTTATATTCAATCTTTGAGAGAGCACTTACCAAGAACCCATATATCAGAGATATAAAACAGAGCAACTATTCATCATTTCAACAAAGAGAACTAACTTGTCTTACCTAGCATGACTCAAACATATCCTATCATTTTGGTATTTTCTATTTTGCAAATTTTTATGTTGTTTTCATTTTTCATCAGATGCAATTGGAAAGCAAATATGCAATTGGGAAGGGAAATATGCAATGTGATACAAGTTACCTTAGTGGGGGGAGCGATGTCTCCCCCCAAGCTTAGCCTTCGCTCAGGGTCCTTGATAAGGATTGAACCCCTGAAAGCGAAAGTACGCTTGAAGGTCATCGTGCTGTTGCTGCATCATGTTGTTGATGTTGGCGAACTGAGCATCAGCAGATTCTTGCCATTCTTGCGTTTGAGCTATGTGTTCCATGAGGTCGTACTGGATCTCGACAGTCTGCACATCAAGGGTGTCCATTCTCCTAGTGATTTCACCCAAGTCCTAATGAGAGGAACTCGAGCACCATTCACTTGGAGCTGGAGGCACACCACTTGACCTGGAGGGTTGGTTGTCCCCCTAGTGAATGTCATGAGGCACATGCCACCGGTCCTCACTAGCGCTTGACCAGGTTGAGACTCCGATGCTATGGCGTGGAGCTTGGGTCCATCCGGGTGCATCCTCAGTTGGTGCCAAACCTGCCTCATACATCTACACGGGTGTCGAGGATGATGAACTTCCTTATTCGTTCCTTGTCATGCTGCGTCTCCCTGTATGTTCCACCTGCACGAGATTCTTCTTTGGTCTGCATGGGAATGGTTAGTTCATGGCAGTTGTACAAATGATACCCCGCATTTGGCAACGGGATTTCATTTGTAGAACCGGAGAAAAAGTATATCAAAGATCCATCTACTCCATGTTTCAAAATATGCCCTTGCACTAGATAAGCCTCATCAATATGCGGACGAGCGGCTGAGATAAAAACAATCTGGTCGCTAACGACCCCTAGCCCTTTTGCTATCCGAGTAATCAGAGAAGTGCACTCAATAGGAGTGGAGAACTTTATACTTTCTAACCATTGTCTTATCATACATTTCATAGGAGAAATTTTGATATTTCTAACCATGGCAAACATGATAATTAATTCATCTCCCATGATGGGTCTCAGATCACTTCTAGGAAACAAAATCATAGCAATCCATTTGTGCATGAGCCTAAGTGTAGGATTATGGATATTATTCGTTCTAGGTTTCTTGCAAATTGGAGCACCAGAAATATCTTCCCAAAACCTATTTTTCTCGAACCCAGAAATTCCTTTCTGGGTATCGATTTTACAGGAATCGTGAAAACCAAGAAGTGTACTCAAGCCCTTCCATGTGAGCGTGAACTTTTTACGGAAAAAGCGAAAAGAAATACCATCTTCTATTTCTTTCAAAGTGCACAGAAATTGCAAAGTAAGCAAACGAGAACCGGGCTCATCTACCACAGCAAATCTCTGCCAACCAACAGCTTTCCAAATAGAACAAAATTCAACATCCATACCTATCTTTTTCAGCAACTCTGGTGAGTATTCTCGCGTGTGAGCATACTCCCGGTCGCTCAGCATGTAGTAGGCTTGTCTCTCCCGATCACTGACAAGGTCAAGGTCAGCGTCGCTTAGGAGTTGTCGTGGAGCGTCGGCATCTTCCATCGAGACATCGGCTGATGAACGAGTACTAGACTCGTCATAACGACTTGATGGAGAGCCCGACCCCTTGAACAGACGAGACAGTCGCCTCCTCATACTGCACAATGGAGCAAGACTAACTCAGCGGGGGTTAGAAATGACAAGAGTTTCACCCGCCCGTTAGTTTCACTAAAGCAACTTGTATATATGCAACTAAAGATTTGAACTTGCGGAAAACTATCAAAGCATAAATGAACTTGAGAGCAAACTTTGGAGAGAGAATGAAAATGTGTTGAAATGGGGTGGAATTCTCTCTCTCGTGGCTTTTATAGGGTACTCACAACGGTCAGAAATGACATGTGGGACCCACTAGCCGTTACCCTGCCAAAGATGGCAGGTAACCGTTGCTTGGCTAGATTGGCCGAACCAGGGTGTTTGGCCGAACTCCTAGTGGGCCCAACTGGCCCGGCCCCACTTTCGGCCGTTGGAATCCAACGGTCAGTGTGGTCGTGGCATTGTGAATTTTAGTTGAAAATTTAATTTTTGTTTGCCCTGAAAAATTCATTTGAAGAATTTCCTCAAAATCCAAAAGTCCTAAATGCAATTTTGAAATTCAAACATGTGGTGATGCAAAAATTCAAATTGTAGAAAACAA